TGACAGAAACACAATTCCCACAGAGACATCCAGCATGATGTTAAGATACCAAGATACATAGGCTCATCCATTACCCTTGCTAAGCGGTAATCTTTTCACTCTTGTAAATTGTATCTCATTGTTCGTTTTAGTTCTGGCTATAATTTTTAGCCACTGATTCCTGTTACACCTTTCTCTGCTATAATAAATAGATCTTCAGTAGGTAATACTTAAACTCCATGTAGTATTTACACAGTGTAATAAAGCCATTCTCACGGGCTTTTCCTCAAGATAAAGTGATTGAACTGTTTATGTCTCTCACCAGCCCTTGAATCATTTTGTGACTCTTTTCTGCAACTCTCCAGTTTTGCAATGTGCAGTAATCCAGTTATGATTCCACTAACAATATATGTACAAGTAAAGTCACCCCCCTGCTCCTCGTTGCTACACCCTTGTTTATGTATCTGCAGATCAAGTTACCCTTTTAAGTATCAGGATCAGCCTGGGAGCTGATGTTCAGTTGGTTGTGCCTGGATTTCCTTTCAGAGCCACAGTTTCTAGAATACAATTCTCAAAGTCTGATTTACTTTCCTCATGTGACTTTGCAGATAAGTACACCAAAATGTACTGTATTTAGGTAAGCTCAGTTTTCCAGATCTCTGTATCCATCCCGCCCTTGTCATTATTCGTCTCTCCACCAACCCTTTACTTTTAGATCATTTATAAATAAGTTGAAGAATATCAACATTGGTACTGGTCCCTTTCTAACCTCTCCCAGAAATACACCCATTCAGCGAATTCTGAATCACAACTGCTAAGGAAGATTAAATTTAGGGGAATAATTCTGCAATGCCGGGATTTATTAAAGATTATTATGCCACAAGTCTCCTGAGATAATGATTTCAGAAGTAACTTGTCTGACTGCCATTTTAATGTTTTTGATCCACAGTAAATGCTGTTTAACTCTACCCTCCCTTAGCAAACAATCTGAAAACTGTCTGGAACACTGTTTTATTGTCTTTGCTTGATGCAAGTCCATATTCCTTCCAAAAAGAAAGCAGAAAAAAATTGAGCTCTTCTGCCCTTCCACATGCTTATCAGCCTTTTTACCATCACCATTTAGTGACAGTTTTCAGTATCTTTACTATGCTTTCTTTTCTTTCTCAATATAGTTTAAAAAATCTGCCTTACCGTTGTCATGGGCTACTCCAGTTATTCTGGCTCCTTTTGTCATTCTTTACTCATTATAAATTCCAATTTATATCAATCATTAATCATTCCAAACCTTCTGTATTTCCTTTTACATGTCTTTTTTTATTCTAATTTCTACTCTCAATCTGCAAGTGAACTGTGGTAGGTTTTCAGCCAAAGGCAGCTATTTACTGACTGGGGGTCATGACTTTTGAAGAAAATCTTCTCATAGAAACCCTATTTCCACTCATATCTTTTCCTATGTAGACATACCTCCCCACCTACATCAGTTTTTAGCAGCGTTCTGTTGGTGACCCTTATCTCCATATCAAAGTGGTCTGAGTCAGTAATCTGTAACAAACACCCAGAGTCAAGTTATTGCTTTTCTGAATTGCAGTTTGATTGAAAGTGCCAAAGAACTGGATTCTGCAACCCTTGTCTCACTTCCAAGCTTTCCATTCTACACTAATACCTCAGACTTTCATTCATCCCCTTTCTTTATCATTGCAGAATGGGTCATAGTCTGATCTGATACCAGGGTCACAGTAAAATCAACCTTCCCCCTCCATTTTCACTTCCCCCATCATTATCAATGCCTGAAAAGTGTCTATTATTTCATATCTGTGATTTCAAATCATATTTCATATTATTTCACAACATTAAGTCATCAAGTAAAAATGGTGTAGGCATGCTAAGAATTACTGCTATTTGCTTTGCCATTCCGTTATCTACAAGGAGATGTAAAACTGCCACAGCCCTCGTTCCTGAAATACTATGTCCAGGGTTCCAAACTCCATGCAGCAGAAAGGACAACGCTGGCAATGTGCCAGCAGCTGAAAAGCCACATCTAATTGTGCATAAAGTTGAGCAGATTGTCTGCTTAGACTAGAGCAAACAAGCTTATCTTTAATGCAGACATATGGCCAGCAAAACCTACAGATCCCAGCATGCAATGTTCTGGCCAGCTGGCCTTTTGGATCAGGATGAAGCATTACATGATCTGATACTGTGGTGACAGAAGATCTGTATCACAATCCCTCCATGTTCATTCTGTCGAGACAAGTTTCTCATTTCCCACTTTTCTCTAGAATCATTTTTAAAAATGAATTTTTTTTAAAAAAAAGCTAAGTCAGTCACTTTTCTGTGGGAGTTGATATACCAAGAAAAAACAGACAGAATAATTAAAGGAGGAGCAGCAACTTATTCTGAACTTTTGAAGTGCACAGATAACCTGATAGACACACAAACAGAATCTGGAACCTGTAAACACCACAGATATCACTGGTAAAGATAAGAATGGCAGACAGTTTTGTTACAAAATTCCAGGTTTTCCAATTTTGCACTAAACTCTGCTTTTACCATTGTTGCCTTTATTCAACTCAGTTTTAACTTCCTTTCTTCCCACCTCTCAGCTGTCATATAAAATGTTCTCTTTGCCTCCAGCTTTCCATTCTGTAAGACACCTCTGCTCTCCTCTAATGACACACCATATATCTTATGACAGTTACCCCCTTGACAGTCATCACAGATGCTAAATCTCAATTAATAGAGAAAACTATTCCAACAGAGTTGTTACTTTTAGACAGGTTAAAATCAGCTCTTAATCTCTCAGTTCTGTTCTTTAGGTCTTTTAAGATGCTAGGAGAATTTAGCCAACGCAGGCTGGGAGCTTCATTCCAACGTCACTTACCCCCAGATCACTTCTTACGTATTACTGAGAAAAGAGGCAATTCTATCTTCATTCACAATTCTAGATGCTATAAATTAGAGAATTCCTACTTCTGCTCTGACAATAACTGTTCAAGACATGATCTAACCAGGAAAGGCAAGAAGAACTTCAGGTCAAAATGAGGGGATTTGCCAGAGATATGAACAGCATGTCAGTTAATAGAAAAAGCACTGTCTACTTTTTCTGCTCTGTCAAGACCAACATGCACTGTCAGAGCTTAAGGAAAGTAATCTGAGAACCAGAGTTTGAGTATCTCACAACCAGGAGTGACTGGCAAAGCCATGCAGATAAAATCAGCAGAAAGCCTGCGTCTGTAGTGGTTTTATTTCCCTCACATTTTCATAAGCAACCAGTACTTTTAGGCAACCTGAATTCTCGTTAAAGGAGGCTGAGTTGATCTTTCTTTAATGTCAGAACTCCTATCTGCGTCTGTGATAGAATGCAATTAGAGAGGCTACACGCCTTGCTGATCCTGTAACCAATTCCTGTTACCAATTACCTCCTTCACCTCCTCCACCTCTTTCCCAAATTCAGGACAGAGCAGGCAGAGCTGCACAGGCACCATGATGAATCTTCTCTTCCATTAAGAAGCACTCAGCTGCACTTCAGCTCAGATAGTCTTTTAGAGGCAACTTTTTTAAGGATACTGAAATATACACTAACAGCAACATCCTCCTGGGAAGGGGGTGAAGGTTCATGCTTACACAGACATCAGGCTGCCACAGAAACACAATCTTGACAGTGGTATAGTTGAATCTCACTTTCTATCTGCCACTGGGTAAAATACAGCTACAAGTCAGATTTGATTTGAAGACTTTAAAAAAACCACCATCTTCATGTCTAACACATGGCATGTTTCCCTACCATGAGGGAGGGAGGAAAAAAGAGTGGGGAGCAGCAGGAAGACAAGCAGTAGCAAAACCTGAACTATCCGACAAAACTGCAGCTAAAATTTTCTTACAAGATATCTAAGATCTAATTTCTATTGCAATTCTGCTTTGAGTCAAAAGGTCCACCTCAATGAGCCAGTGTATGTAAAAATGTGCAGTCCCTCCATATTACACCTCTGGAAAACAACTGCATAAGGACATTCCCAGTAAATTGAAGAGTGGTTTAGATTTTAGTGGTTTATGCTCTGTCAAAAATGTTCAGAATTCAGGCAGAAGCCCACATTCTCACTTTTTTGCCAAAGGTAAGATTGGGAGGAGGAGGAGGTAAGAAGAGAGAGGAAAGGCAGGAGAGAGAATCTGAAAAGCTATTTACAACACTGCCAATTCACTGTCCATCCATTCAATTCCATCTAGCACAGGTCACCCAGTATCCTATCCTACTACTCCTGGACAGGAATAAAATAACAAATCTAAGTTTGAATTGTTTCCCAAGAATCTCCCTAGACAGAAGACATGAAAACACTTGTCCAATCCAAAAAATTGCAGCAAATCAGCAAAAAACAGATAGAAACAAATAACAAGCCACTCCCTGCCAGAGGGATCCCTGAAAGAGACTTTCAATATATTTGCAGTTGTCCAGCAGAACAGTAGAGATGTAAACTGCAGATACAATCCAGTGTGCCTGTATTTTTTCCTCCTTTCACAGTGTATAATCCCACCACAGTACAGACTATTCCAACACAGTTCATCAAAGGAACATTTGAATTCAGCCTCTCAGAGATACCAGCTTGGTGTTAATGAGAGCCCATTTAGATAAAGAAGAGAAACACTGGGTGGAACAAGAGGTGTGAAATACTTCAAACCACATAAATTGCCTCTATCAGTAGTGGAGTTATCTCTCCCAATGGGGTCACCAGTTGTCACATGCTTTACAGAAGCCAGGACGGAATATGGCACTGAGGCAGTGTGGTCGGATGTGTTGTGAGGATGTGACAGCCCTGGTACATCTTTCTGTTGTAAGCATTTAGAATCACATAAAACAGGAAGTAACTACAATGTTTAGTAAAGGATAAAGTTCCTTTACAGATTCACAGAAGCTTCTCATAACACCTCTACAGTAACCCACACCAGTCCCCACAGTGTTTTCAAGGCTATTCAAACTTTCCTATTGCCTTCCTTTTCATTGCATCTGTTGATTTTGCTACCTTTACCTCGTGGGATATCATGCTCCAGAGAATCTAGAAAGTCAGTGGATGGGTCCAGGTCAGCTTTTTCCAGCAGGGTTTTATTCTTCAGGTTAACAGGCTCAGTGAAATGGAAATAGGAACTTAACTTTTTTGCCTCCACTAAAGACAGACCTGCAAAAAAGTCATTGGTGAACATTAATACAAATGCGAATGAACTAGGGTAACATTCATTATACTATCGAGTATAACATTGTTTCTCTAATGCCCACAGCCTAGGACAGAACCACAGTCTTTTTCCATAGATGCCACAGAAGGCTTGTTAGAAACAGGTGTCAGCACTCCCCGGTGCTGTGCATTGCAGACCATACTGACTGCAGTCCCAGATAACCAGTGGCTACCAACTTGAGGACAACTTTCTGTGCCCTTTTGTTCATATCCTATATCTAAATGGACGATTCACTACACCTAGAATTGCTAAACACTGACATAAACCATAATTTATATCGACAAATTATTCAGCTTAATGATTCAGAACTATTACTGACTCTTTTCCCACCTTTCAGAGTGGAATCATGTACCTGAACATTAGTGGCACTGGATTCTCTGCTCCCTGTTCATCTTATCCAAGGGAAAAAAAAACAACAACTGAAATCAAAACATCAGTTAGAGAAAATCATCTTAATTTACAGCCTTTATGATCAAAGTACAGTTGATCCTGATAAAGACAATCAGAATTTACCTTCAAAGTGTCTGTTTTCATGCACAGGCCCAAGAGGAGTCTTCACAAATGCCCCCCGGGGGACAATGCCAACTGCTCTGTCTATCTGTTCTATCGTAGCTATAAGGCGGGCCTCCTCCTTGATCACAGGCTTTAAAGAAAAATAGGGAAATTTTAAAGGCAGGGCTTTCCTCGTTTTCATTTCTGAAAATAAACTTGGGGTGACACAATGGACTTATCATCTTGGAGTCCAATGGCATTAAGAGGACCTCAAAAGACATTTCTCTCCTAAGACAGGACAGAAAACATGCCTAGGAGCAGACAGTTTAGAACCACCAGAGATCTAACTATCTCTTCATCTATTCTTTCCTCCCTCTCAATTCACCTACTTATGACTTGTCTATTAATTTATAAAGAATGCTGCCTGTAGTTATTATTAAAGCTTCAGAAATCGCAGTGAGGATTAGTACCAGTTGTGCACAATAAAGCATAAGGGATATTTACTATTTCTGAAGTCTGTTGAACTCCAGCAAAAACTGAAGTAAGAGTTCAATCATGAAGCTGTTGCTAACACAATGGCAGCGAGGAATCACAGACAGAGTTATAGAATATTCTGAGTTGGAAGGGACCCATAAGGATCATCAAATCCAACTCTTAGGCGAACAGCCCACACAGTGATTACAACCTTGGTGTTAGACGCACCGAGCTCTAACCAGGAGGAAATTGTGTATCTTTTGCCTCACCACAGGCTCATGCTGCTCATTACAAAAGAGGAGAAGCCGCCCCCCGTGCAGCGTGAGGGGCACAAATGTAGAGAACAGAGTTCGAAAACGTCTTGCTGTATTTACCTCTTTACCACTTTCAATCAGTCTTGCAGCTGCTTCTGCGTTTATCTCAGACAAGTTGTACTCAAAAGAAGGATCTCCCTGAAAGCGGCCCTTCACCTGCTCAATCAGTGCAAGCATCTCCTTGGTGGCTGGCGTCAGGAGGCTCCAGTCCAAGCAGTTCAAGCTGCCAACGACAAGCACGACTCAGGGCCGAGCCCGTTAAAGAACGGGGCTCGAACCAACTTCGCCAGGCCCCTTAGGGCGCAGCGAGGCTCCCTCCCGAGAACCGGACAGCATCACCCGACTCGCACGGCCCCAGACCGGCCCGGCCTGTCCCTGCTCCCCGGGGCGACCCCCGCACCTGTACAGGCGGCTGCGGGGCGCGGCGCGGTCGGGGCCCAGCCCCTCGG